ACATAATTCGTTAAATTAAAGGATAAAATTGAATAAATTAAAATAACAAAAACTAAATTAATACATTATATAAATTAGAGGGACTATCTATGTAATTTATCCAATATATTACTAATGAGTGATTTGGGATGATCTAAATAAGTGTACTTTTTGACTTTTCATGAAATATAAGTTTGGTATAAATTAAGTTTGAAGTGACGTAATAAAAATAGATGGGATTTAAATAAAATGTTATGATTTCAATAGAATAATTATTTTTTTATTTTTTATTTTTTTAAATTATGACAAATAAAGTCTAAATATCTTCTGGATCACTAAACCTCTGTTTGGCAAGTTGGTTCTTGGGCTTTTTTGGCTATTTTAGCCACAAAAGACAAAATAGGCTATTTTAGCCATAACAAACAAAACATCACATCCAACCCATAATCATTACATTCTTCTCTCACAAAAAAACTCAAAAAAGCCAAAAAGCCAAAAAGTCAAAAAGCCATTCCCAAACCAAGCTTTTAAGCCCAGGCTAAAAAATAAAGTCTAAATATCTTCTGGATCACTAAATATCTTCTCGAATATAAGGGCTAATCCCCAGAGGGGTGACCTCTCGGAAGGGAATATATATAGGTGGGTCAAACGAGAGAGAGAGAGAGAGAGAGAGAGAGAGAGAGAGAGAGAGTACAAGGTCTAAATAGGGAAAAGTCCGATAGTACAAGTACAATAAATAAAGGGAGAAAAAGTCCAGATTTTACCATGGTTAAGAAGAGCTAATAATAAGAGAGGTAGAAGACAACAAAACAAACCACATGAGTTGAGTGAATTTCTTTTGGGGGCAAAACCATGATTGAGGTAATAGATAGATAACCCCCCCTTCCCCCTACACACCTATGTAATGATTGATATTCACCACCATCTCTCCACTTCTTCCTTTCCACCCATTTTTTCTCGACCCAAATATATGCAACTGAGAATAGGACAAAAAAAAAAAAAAAATTAAAAATTGTTGTGTTGTGAAGCCCAACATGAACACAGCTTTCCCTAAAATATCTCCCACCATATTAGCCTCCTTGACAAAATATTACTTTTTATCCTTTTTATGTAATTCCTCTTTTTTTTTTCTTTTTTTTTTCTTTTTTTTTATGCTCCTCTAATTAAAAAGTTACCAGTTTGGCATGATGTTGCGTTAATTTAACTTATTAAAAATATGTTACAAAATGAATAATATAAAATATTATATTTAAATTATAATTATTTTATCTTTTTCTTACAAAATCATATAAGGTCAAAATTTTATTTTCAACGAATTTTTTTAACTAGATTTAAATATTCAAAAAGTTAAAATCTTAAACTACCATTAAAAGAAGTTTTTGTTATGATTGTTTTGGAAAAAAACTTTGTTAATATATTTTTTTAATTTTTTGACTATTTAAGGTCTCATTTGTGGATTTAAGATTTTAGTTAAAAAATAATTATAAATTATCATATCACATCACATCACTTTCTTTATTTTTTTTTAATTTTTTTGCATATGTTTAATAAAAAGTAAAAAAAATAACTAAAATAACTAATTCACAAACAATGTCTTAGCCTGACTAAAATTTTTTTTGTTTGAGATAATTTTTTTTTTGTTTTGTTTTAAAATATTGTGAGAAAAAAATTAAAATGATTATGATTTAAAGGTGATATTTTTTCTTATTAATTTTTTAGTCTATTTTGTCTTTTAATGGGATAAATTAGCTACAATCATCTTCCCAAATGAAGCCTTACTTTTTTATTTTTGTTTGAAAAAAAGTTTACCGTAGCTATTTTAAATGGAAAATGTTTAAAACAACCTTTGTGATTGAAAAAACGAAAAAATTTGAAATCAGTGTATATGTAAAATAATTATAGATCAATAATTTTTTTTATAAATATTAGTAATTAAATTCTTAAAATTTTTCATCAATTTGAAGTAATTTTGTAGGGATACCACTACGTGGTAATTTTCCCTCGAAATAATAAATTGAAATGTGTGAAAATATTTTAAAATATATGAAAAGTATATATTGAAATTATAATTTTTTTGACATTTAATATTTTTTATTAATAATCTCTAGGGCTAAAATTATGACACCCATTTAAAAAGTTATTAAAAAAATTCAAAAAATTAAGAATATGTCAAATAAATTAATAGTAAAATGATATAACTCTATACTTTTTGAGTCATAACAAAAAAAAATGTCACAACCAAACAGTATATAAGGCATAACCATAAATCTGATGAATCATAACTAAATAAGAAAATTTGTCATATTAAAGAATAAAATGACATAATTAAAGGTGCATATAATACACTATTTCAATGAGTGTATATAGTAAAATTTTCCTATTTTTTTTTATAAATTTATTTTTAGTCGACAAGTAAACTTTTTATTTGGAAACCCTGAATTATTTTGAGTAAGTCCAATAACTTCGTTTTGTAGTCAGTTTGAAGAGTTTTGTACAAAATATAGCTCCAAATAATTTTCTTAAAGATTCATAAATTTAACTATCATACTTTAGTTATGTAAATAATAACAAAATATATTTCTTTCACACTTTCTCCCTCTGTCTTCTCTCTATAAGATTCAAATGAATATTTCAAAAAAATAAAGAAAAAATAAAAGGTACTAAGAAGAAGTTTATGAAAATGTGATTCTTTATAATAAAAAATCAATTTTTAGTTATGTCATTGTTGGGGATGCGTTTACTAAATTTATGTCATTTTTAAAACAAAGACAAATATTAATATTTTAAAAAAAATTAGAAAATTTTTAAATATAATTCTTAAATTTATTAATGATAACATCACATGAATTGAAAATGATTTCCAACCATCCACCTCACTAGAAATTACTAATATTTTATAATGGCCTTATTCAAAAAATTGACTATTTTAGGTTAGCTATTTGTTTATTTTAACCTGATTAAAATAATTGTGTTGGAGAAGTTAATTAATTAATTATTTTTTTATAGTTAATTTGATAGTTGTAAAGTAAAATGATTATGGGTGAGGGTGTAAATTTGGCCCAACTCGGCCCATGTCGAACTGAGCAAGCTCCTGTCAAAATTTGAGTTAGATTGAGGTCGGACCATGGGCTAGAAAATTCGGCTCATGCCCCTGCCCATGCCCAAGGGGTATACGGGCCTTGGGTGGACTGGGATTGGGTGGGTCTAAACATTTATTTATTTCTATTTTTTCTATCGAATTTTATTTTTTTTTAACTAAAAATAATGTTGGGTCTCTAGTAGGCTGGACTTTGAGTAAGTTTTAAGCGGGCTAATGAGCTCGGCCATAAGCCGGACCGGGTTTTAAAATGACAGTTCAGACCTAGTCGGACCTGGCCCACCCCGAGGCCATAGGCAGACTTTGGACCACCCATAAGCCGCGGGCCATTTTTTATACCCCTAATTAGGGGTGGTCGCGGTTCGGTTTTAGACGATTTGGACCCGTTCATGTATGTTGTTTGGAGAAAATTCAACTCGTAACCGCCCGCAGTATGGGTTGTAATTTGTGCGGATAAGGTTCACGGATGTGCGAGTGATTGCGGGTGGTTTGCAGATTGGATTTTTTTTTTCTTTAAAAATTTATTTCGGAGTTTCATTTTTTTTTCCATTTTGTAAATATTTATTTTGTATCATTTTCCCCCCATTTTCTAAAATGTTCCAACTTTAATAATTAATGAATTAAAACTCATAAAATTAAAAATACAACAAAATCAATTCCTAACACAAACAAATCATTCAAAATTCTAACTTTTAAATCACGAGGCCATAGGCAGACTTTGGACCACCCACAAGCCGCGGGCCATTTTTTATACCCCTAATTAAGGGTGGTTGCGGTTCGGTTTTAGACGATTTGGACCCGTTCATGTATGCTGTTTGGAGAAAATTCAACTCGTAACCGCCCGTAGTATGGGTTGTAATTTGTGCGGATAAGGTTCACGGATGTACGAGTGATTGCGGGTGGTTTGCAGATTGGATTTTTTTTTTCTTTAAAAATTTATTTCGGAGTTTCATTTTTTTTTCCATTTTGTAAATATTTATTTTGTATCATTTTCCCCCCATTTTCTAAAATGTTCCAACTTTAATAATTAATGAATTAAAACTCATAAAATTAAAAATACAACAAAATCAATTCCTAACACAAACAAATCATTCAAAATTCTAAATTTTTAAATCAAATCATAAACTAACACAAATACATCTTTCAAATCCTAAACTAGATCATCAATCTTATTCACTATCTACTACCCAATAATACAATTAACATAAAATAATTCAAAATTCTAAGTTTATCTAAAAGTCATTATTTATTAATTTTTATATTCATCCAAAATATAATAATAAAATAATAACGGTCTAAATTTTAAAAAAAATAAAAAATCTAAGTGCGGGCAGGTTTTTGCGGGTGCGGGTTAAACCCGCAACTCACAATTGTGTCATATTTCAAACTACATCCGCCCGCATTGTGTCTGCGAAATTGCCAATTTGTATGAGGATAGATTCGGGTTGGACGGATTGTGCGGTTCAGACCCAGCCCTACCCCTAATTATAGGTTGAATATGATATTTTTTAATGTTTTGTGCAGATGGTTAAAAGTTGACTTTTTGATTTTTTTTTTTTTTGTGACAGAGAAAATGGGTTAAAAGTTAAAAAGTGATTTTTAACTTACTTTTCAAAATAAGCCTTTATATTATTAACTATTTTAACCTTTTTAAAAAAAAATTTAGTTTAACACTCGGTAATTTACAAGTTTTTTTTTTATTATCTATTTTAAAAATACGATTCGTTTATATTATAAAATTTATTAAATATATCATTAATAAAAAAAATTAAAAAATTAAATATTTATAATCTCATAAATAATATGCTCAACAATAATTTGAATTATTAAAAAAAAAAAAAAAAAAACTCACAAAAACTCATAAAAAAACTCCCAATTCATTTCTTTCTATATAACCCCCCACTGCCCCCCCTTCACAGACTCCATAATCCATTCTGCAAAATTATACACACTCTCTCTCTCTCTCTCTAATGTCCCCCTCTACTCTCTCTTTCTAAACCACATAACCTCACCACTCTTGTATGCTCTGCTACTTCAAGTTGGATTTGAAGAGAACACAAACAAGAGCTTGGTAAGCAAGATGGTTGACAAGGAAGACTTGGTTTTGGCTCTGAGCTTGAGCTTTCCCGAGAATCGTAGTTCACTACACCTGAATCTGATGCCTTCTGCAGTATCTTCTTCTTCTCCTCCTCTTTCGGCCCCTTTCAATCCTCACAAAACCTCATGGAACGATATCTTCCCTTCCTTCGGTACGTATTTTCCAGATCTCCATCAACTCTCAGATCTGCTTAGAAAAGTGTTCCTTTCTCTTATTCATCTTTTCTCATATCCTTTTTCTTCACTAAACAGATCTACAACTTTATCTTCAGTTTTATTTTTTTATTTTTATAATCAATTTGTAATAATTAACTTAAATCTGTTTATTCGAATCGATCACATGCAGATCGGAACTCGGAGAGTTGCAGAGTCGATGCGAGATCGTTTTTGAAGGGAATCGACGTGAATCGAACTCCGTCGACGGTGGATTGCGAGGAGGAAGCGGGAGTTTCGTCGCCGAACAGTACGATCTCGAGTGTGAGCGGGAAGAGAAGCGAGAGAGAGGCCATTGGAGACGAGCACGAGATCGAGAGGTCTTGTTCGCGTGGAATCAGCGACGAAGAAGATGGAGATAACTCCAGGAAGAAGCTTCGTCTCTCGAAAGATCAGTCGGCTGTTCTTGAAGAGAGCTTCAAAGAACACAACACTCTCAATCCTGTAAGTATATAGCACTGAGTCTTAGCTTGAAGCTCATCTGTGGAGGTCAGGGGTAGTTTGGTTATTTTACTGAGAAATTTGGGGCTTATTTTTTTTACAGAAGCAAAAGCTGGCTTTGGCTAAACGGCTTGGACTCAGAGCCCGTCAGGTGGAAGTTTGGTTTCAGAACCGAAGGGCTAGGTGAGTGAATTTTTTTTCTTTAATCAAAAAGTTGGGTTATGGTAGTACCCAATTTATAACATTTAGGGATATCAAAGGCTTGTTTGGTTTGTTTGTTAGAAAAAATTTTAGAAAAAATTCTTTGTAAACAAATTTTCAAGAGTAATTAAAATAAATAAATTTTTTTTTAAAAAATCTCAAAATTTTATTTGGTTATCTACTTTCCAAAATCACCCTCTCTCTCGTACACATTAAATTAATCATTTTTTTAAAACTCTATCCTTAAAATAATTTTCCAAAACCATTTTTAAAAAAAAGCAAACCAAATAAGTTTTCGTAATTTTTATCTCAAAAACTACTCTACAAACACAAACCAAACACACCCCAAATTTTTTTACTAAATTAATTAATGTCTTACATGAGTGTAGGTTTACATATCTCATATGATGTGGAGTTTATAATTTTGTAGATTTCATACTCATATAAGACATTTAATTATTTATTTAATAAAAATTTGAGACTTATAACATTTTATTAACATTTATGATACCTCATAACTCAATAATTTTATAATAAAAAAAAATAAGTCATATTCAAACGAGGTAAAATCATTTATAAACATATAACTAAACTATTTATGTATAATTAAGGGCTCGTTGGGAAGTGAGGTAGTTGTCAAAAATTAGTTTTTAATCCATTTTAAGTTATATTATTTTTCATATTTTTTTATACATTTACAAAAAAATTAGAAAAATCATCTTTTAACCATATTTTTAAAAGAATCCTAAATTATAATTAACACTATAATTATCCTAAATTATAATTAACACTATAATTATAACAACAAATTACTAACGTTGTAAGTAGGGGTCATATACACACCGCATGGATCATAGAATTTCCCAAGGAAGTTATTCTATTTATGTGAAATTCAATTACAAAATTGAACATTAAGGCTGTCAAATGAACCAAACTAATTTACTTGAGCTATTCGGCTGGTTAAAAATTCCTTCAAGATTGACTTACATAAATAAATTAAGTTTGAACTTTTCAATTTAATTTTAAATGTCCTATTACTTGACTCAATAAGTTTATATGTATTATAAAATTTTTAAATTATTCAATCTCGACTTGTGTTCAGCTTGCAAAAAAATTGTTCAAAATCAACTCTGTTATATAAACAAGTTATGATTGAACATAATTTTAAATTGCTAAGTTATCAAATTAAGATTCAACATTTTATTACTCTGCTCGTTTTTTAGCCCTACTTAAAATAATCCTCTGTCCTACCTATAGTTTTAAATGGGACACTATCAATTGATATTGACAAATAATAATATCAAAAATCTGAAATCTCAATGCTTAACGACTGACATAATTCTTAATATTGGATATTTAAAATCTTGATCCCGTCTTTTTGTGGTCCTATTGGTTTACTACTGGGGAAAAAAAAAAGAAAAAGAAAAAAAGAGTGCATGAAATTAGAGTTATACCTATTTTGAATTGGTTTAAATAACGGGTGGTTTTGAATGGATACAGGACGAAGCTGAAGCAGACTGAGGTTGACTGTGAATTCTTGAAAAGATGCTGTGAGAACCTGACGGAAGATAACAGGAGGTTACAGAAGGAAGTTCAGGAGTTGAGGGCACTGAAACTGTCCCCACAGTTCTACATGCAAATGACCCCACCCACCACCCTCACCATGTGCCCTTCATGTGAGCGTGTTGCTGTCCCACCATCCTCCTCCTCCGCCCCTGCACCACCACCCCTCGACCACCGTCGGTCCCACCCCCAGCGGCCCATCCCCATCAACCCCTGGGCCACCCCCATCCCAATCCCACACCGGCCGCTCGATCGTAATATCTTCGTCGATCCAAGGGCGTAATTGTCATTTCAACATCCTCATCATTGTCTCAGCATAACCTTACGGAATCTATACGGAAGAAATATGAAGAATTGCAGTAGTAATAGCGTAGTACCACCAAGAGTATCAATGAGGGTCTATGATGTGGTTTGGTGGGTCTCAATATGTTTTGTTTTATTGGACCCATCATCATCTTCTTCTTCTTCTTTAAGTGACTAATATTTTTAGTTTAGTGGTTGTTCTTCTTATTCTTAAGAAAGTGAGAGAAAAAAGAAAAAATTGGATGGGGAGTTTGGATGTAATGTAAAGTGCTGTGTCTAATTAAATTAAACTAATTATGTTTCTAAAGTTTAGTATTTCAAGGACTATGTCTACTATGATTGCAAAGCAATCTCTCACTTTTGTATCCTTGTGCTATTTTTATATATGTTGTGTTGTCGGCTCTTGTGGGGACCCATATGTGGTCGGATCTTCTTGTGGGGACCCATATCTGGTTTTATGGAGGATTGTGAGTGATTGGTTAGCCTTTGTTACAAAACAACAAAATCATTTTGATTTTAAAAAAAATAGTTGCATTATTTAAAGAAATTTAAAAGGTAGTGCATTATGCTTAAACATCCCTATAATAAAAAAATTTATAAATTTTTTCTTTTAAACATGAACATACATAGTTAACAAGATTTTAAAAACATTGTTTTAAATAGTACGTGCACATCATTAAAATGAAATTGTACTGCACATGGCATTATTGCATCTAAATATGTTTATTATGTTCTAAAAAAATATATATATGTTTATTAATTTGTCAATAGTTTATTATTTTAAGGAAATTTATGTTATTTTTAACAATAAATTGAAGGAGAACAAAAAAAATGATAAGTTGTATTCACAATAGTAAAATTCAAATTTGAAGCATTTGATATAGTAAAAGAAGGCTTCATCTATCTGACTAACCCTTTAACCTTGATTTTGGGAAAGTTTTGATCTTTGAGTCTTTTATTAAGGTCTCATTTGGCAACATTACTTTTTAGCTTAAAAGTCAAAAAGTTATTAAAAAAAATTAAAAAGTCAACAACTTATAAAAAATTCAAAAATTTCATTTTCTCTCTATTTTTTGCATATTTTTTCGTAAAAAATTAATCCAAATATATTAATTTTTTTATATCATATTTTAGCAAAAAAACTCAAAAAGTTATTTAAAAAGCTTATTCTCAAATGAGGCTGAATTTTGGAGTAAATTATGTTGTGGTTTTGGAGAACTATGTGACATTGTTTAGGATGTCCAAAGCAATGGCAAAATGTAATTTTTTTCGGATGAAATATGTTGATTTATTTTTGTTAGGCACTTGAAGGACAAGATATGACTCACTTAAGCTACATTTATATTATAGATTTGGATAGAGATTTGAAAAAATAAATGATTTTTTATCTAATAAGTTGTATTCACAATAGTAAAATTCAAATTTGAAGCATTTGATATAGTAAAAGAAGGCTTCATCTATCTGACTAACCCTTTAACCTTGATTTTGGGAGAGTTTTGATGTTTGAGTCTTTTATTAAGGTCTCATTTGGCAACATTACTTTTTAGCTTAAAAGTCAAAAAGTTATTAAAAAAATTAAAAAGTCAACAACCTATATCAAAAATTCAAAAATTTCATTTTCTCTCTACTTTTTGCATATCTTTTCGTAAAAAATTAAAAAGTTAATCCAAACATATTAATTTTTTTACATCATATTTTAGCAAAAAAAATCAAAAAGTTATTTAAAAAGTTTATTCTCAAATGAGGCCTGAATTTTGGAGTAAATTATGTTGTGGTTTTGGAGTAAATTATGTTGTGGTTTTGGAGAACTATGTGACATTGTTTAGGATGTCCAAAGCAATGGCAAAATGTAATTTTTTTCAGATGAAATATGTTGTTTTATTTTTGTTAGGCACTTGAAGGACAAGATATGACTCACTTAGGCTACATTTATATTATAGATTTGGATAGAGATTTGAAAAAATAAATGATTTTTTTTTTCACATCTCTACTCAAATTCATAATAAAAAGGCAACTTATTAATGTGTGATAAATTTTCATTTATTAAGAATGGTACATAGATAATATCACTTTGAAATTACATTATAATTTCCATTAATTATGAAAGACTTTGACTAGCGAATAGCTAGGAAAACTGTCTGCAGTAACCCCAACAATCAATCTAGGAGATGAGGGCTAATTGAACATGCTTTTTTTATAGGACAAGGGGCAAGCACAGCAGGGTATGCCGTGCATGCAACACACACCAATAAAAAAGAAAAAACAAAGGAAAAATTATATTAAAAAAAAAAAAGAAGCAAAACCATGAGTCGAGTAGGCACGACAGTGCCTGCTGTACAGCAGGCACCCCTTTTCCTTTTTGGACAAGGGGCACCTGCTGTGCTTAAGCACAGCAGGGTGTGCCGTGCATGCAACACACACCAATAAAAAAGAAAAAACAAAGGAAAAATTATATTAAAAAAAAAAAAAAGCAAAACCATGGGTCGAGTAGGCACGGCAGTGCCTGCTGTACAGCAGACACCCCTTTTCCTTTTTGGACAAGGGGCACATGCTGTGCTTAAGCACAGCAGGGTGTGCCGTGCATGCAACACACACCAATAAAAAAGAAAAAACAAAGGAAAAATTATATTAAAAAAAAAAAAAGAAGCAAAACCATGGGTCGAGTAGGCACGGCAGTGCCTGCTGTACAGCAGGCACCCCTTTTCCTTTTTGGACAAGGGGCACCTACTGTGCTTAAGCACAACAGGGTGTGCCGTGCATGCAACAGACACCAATAAAAAAGAAAAAACAAAGGAAAAATTACGAGAGACTTTGACTGAAGAATAACTAGAGAAACTGTCTACAATAACCCCAACAATCAATCTAGGAGTTGTGGGCTAATATATTCAATTTTGAACATGTTTTTTTTTTTTTTTTTTTTTTTTCTGGGACTTTCCAAGTATGGATTTATATAGGAGGTGGGCTCTCTCGCATTGGATAGGATAGGATAGCTGTTGACATTTTCCAAGATGCATAAGTAAACAAATTTCATTAACTTTTTTTTTTTTTTTTTTCTTTTCAACTCACAGTCTAGCCAAAGATTCAGTATTGCACATGTTTACATCGATAAACAAGAAACGTTTACAAAAATTTATTAATTTATAGAACATTTTATTTGCCCAAACATTTTCACATGTCAAACTAAAATTAGCAACTAACTGAAGACTTTGAGCATTTGTAATATAACTGCCTGGATTGGCAGTCCTTTGTTGGAAGCCAGATTGGTTACTTCTGTTTCCAAATAACCAGAAAAGGAGAAAGACAGAGCCGCCTTCTCTCCTGGTATAGGCCAAGCGAAAATATTAAATGTAACAGTGATATGATCTTACCTGGTATAACTAGTCAATAAAAAATAACATACGAGATTAGATAGATATTTATTGTCTTCTACTAATCTAACCATGTAATCTTCACTAGCACAATATAAGATTTTTCATTGATTAGTGACATCATTACATGGTGGTGTCGCGTTATTCCCATTATGAGGGGAGTTCTGAAAATGATCCAAAAGCCATATACCAAATAGGGACAAACTTTTGTTCCCCAAACCAAGTTGAACAACAGGACAGCATATATGCTCTAACCTTTTTAGCCCACAAAGCTCACGCAAAGCAGAGTGGAGAGAGAGACCACAATTTTCAGACTCATTTTTTTTTTTTTTTGGCTTTTTTCAAAGTGTGTGGGTGGAAGAACTGGCTTTTGATTCAGCTTTTTCTTTAAATTTTTTTAAAATAAAATAAGTGGATAATTTTTGAAGTAAGGGAGTCCCACATCGGCGTAGAAGAAAAGAAGAGAGAGGGTGTGATTAGAATAATAGGAGATACATGGGCCTTGTCGAGAGCATGATCCTTCAGGCAGCTTAAGGGGAGGTGATGAGTGGTCACACTTGCAATTTGAAAAAATGCGAGATGGGTGCTCAGCCCAAAGCCTGGTTACGACAATTTGGGTACTCCCATTTTTATCCAATCTGATCCCTGCTCTTGAAGGAATGTAAAAATCAAAGCAAAACAAAAGTTACTAGGCAAAATTTGTAAAAGTTTGTAAAATCTCACTCATTTTCTAATATTCATAACAAAATGTAAAAAATATTTAAATATGAAAAATGAGTGCATAAGTTTATTTGTTAGACCTACTTTGAAGATGACTCTTGAGTTTTTTTTTGTGTGAAGCTCAAATAAAATTATAGTTTTAAAAGTTTTTCAAATAATTTAATAAAATAATAGTTTTAAAAGTTTTTCAAATAAAAAAATATGATGTTGATGAAAAGGCCGAAATGTCCTTTTATATAATCTATAATCAAAAACCATCACTGAACCATTTCTTTTTTTTTTTTTATCTCTACATTACTGATATCCTCTCTTTTCTTTTTATTTTCTCTCTTTGTAAGCCCTAAACCTTTTTGATCTCTATTTTCGATTCATCTCACAAAATTAAAATCTTGAAATCGTCCATTGAAATCCATCCCCATCTCGGATTTGATGCCTATGAACTCTTGTTTGAGATCAATAATTTCAGATTTGAGATAAAATGACCTCATATATGTCAAAAAATGATAAATTGATATATTACAATAAAAAATCGACAGCTTTTTGTTTGTTTATTCATAGATCTAAAGTAAAATTCGATTATAATTCATTTATCTAGTATGTACTCTGTTTTCATAACAATAAAATTTTACTCTGATTAATGAAAAATAAAGTTTATTCTCTTATGCATAGACAAACATTCAACAACAAAATAAAATTTTATCTTAAGATTCAAAGTAAATTTTACTCTGAAATACAGTAAAATTTAATAGAAAACAAATCAGAAACTTCAGATTTGAGATAAAATGACCTCATATATGAAAAAAAATGATAAATTGATATATTACAATAAAAAATCGACAGCTTTTTGTTTGTTTATTCATAGATCTAAAGTAAAATTCGACTATAATTCATTTATCTAGTATGTACTCTGTTTTCATAACAATAAAATTTTACTCTGATTAATGAAAAATAAAGTTTATACTCTTATGCATAGACAAACATTCAACAACAAAATAAAATTTTATCTTAAGATTCAAAGTAAATTTTACTCTGAAATACAGTAAAATTTAATAGAAAACAAATCAGAAACTGCTGCATAGACAAACATTTAGCAACACAATAAAATGTTTCTTTCAATTCAGAGTAAATTTTACTCTGAAATACAGTAAAATTTTATTTGCATGTTAAGAAAACATAATAGATAATACCAAAGAAAAATTTTACTCTCATTTTATCAAACAAAAACAGAGCACAAATTAGGGTAAAATTTTACTTTCATCATGTCAAACAAAAATAAAGCACATACCTGATTGAACTCGGCAAATCAACAAAAACAAATAAAAAATAACAACAGATTTATACAGCTTTGCAACATAATCTCTCATTCAATTGAGAGTGCTGATCTTGGATGGCAAGATCGTGTACTGTTGACCAAGGATGAGATCGTCGGCGGTGAGATCTTTAGACTTTGAGATCGTTTTCATGGATTTCGCAGATCATTTTCACTTTGCAGATCGTCTTCAAGATCGATGTATACATGAGCTGAGATTGTTTAAATATATGATATATATATATATATATATGAGGGCAATATGGTAAAAAAAAAACAAATTATAGAATGTCCTTATTGAGCTTGGCTTCTCTTATTCAGGTGTTTTTTGAAGGAGAATTCATTGAGTTGTCCTTTATCTTAAAAAAAAAACCCCAAAAAGGAGATTTCACCAAAAATTTCATATTTATTTCAGTCAAAAGAGTTTTGGAAAGGGGTCGGCATCTCTTCTTTTGATTTACAATCATTTTCACTCAATCTGGAGGATTGGGTGAAGTTGAATTGTCAAGCCAAGTCTGTTCATCCTTCAGCTTCTAATTGGTATATTTTGTTTCCTATTGTGTTTGTTTCGTTGTTTTGGTAATACCCATCTTTGGTGTAGGTACTGTTGTGGGTTGGGTTCCTTCTAAAAAGAGGATTTTTCAAGTTAAAGAGAGATGGGGCTGCTAAGGCTAATCCAGGCTTGGCGTTTGCGGGTGGGGTTATTAGAGACCATTTGGGGCATTGGGTTGCAGGGTTGCAGGCTTCAGCAGGAACATTGGATTTTCATCTAGTATTGAAGCGGAATTGTGGGCTATGAGAGATGGGCTTAATCTTGTATTAGAGCGGAACATTGTTAATCTGTAAATCGAAATAGATGCCATAGAAGGGATTTTTGTTTATCCATTTTCTCCTTGTATTGCAGCACAAATGTTTGATGATGCTAGAGGTGTAGTTTACCTGAGAATATTGTACTCTTGAAGTTTTTATCTATTTAATGTAACTATTATGGGTTTACCAAAAAAAAGGAAATATATGATGCAGGATATCAAGTCCGGAATACGTGTGTTTAGATTTGTTTGGTTAATCATATATACGGATTTGGTTACAGAGTTTGGAATTTACTAGTAATTCAGTATGTGTTTGTAGATTTACTATAATTATAGGGGGACTAAAATTTCGTTGAGGATGTCTTTGTGTGTATTTTTCTTAGTGTGTTTGTGTGCGTGTTTTTTTTAATGTTTTTTGGGTGAAGCAATTTTGTTTTTGGTCTTTGTTGTACAGAACAAACAGATGAAGCTCGACCAGGATTGATTAATATTTGTGGAGGCAATTCAGAGAGAAAGAGGGGCATTTCTACTTGGGGACAAATGCGTTGGGCTAAATGCCTATCAAAGCCGAATCCTAAGATCTAAATCTTTAATAAGGTAGAAGGAATGTGGATAAACCAAATCAAATTCCCTTAATTTTTATTTCGTGAAGAAAGTAAGAAAAAAAGAAAAAAATTCACATTTTCACCATTGAAATAGGATTACCAAATTATAATATTTTAATATTGTATTATGTTAAGTCAAAATTTAAGTTTGACATTTTTATATTAACATTCGTATTATCAACTATCAGACATATATATATATATATATTTTTATGTAAAGGCAGTCTTAAAGAAATATCTACACTTACAATAATCATTGAAACACCATCTAAATCATCACATTTTTACCATTATGGGAAGAAGCAAACAAAAAATATATATATGGAGAGAGATGAAACACATGATAATTTTTGTTAACATTAGTTGGCTTCACGGCCACTAGAAAGTCATTCTTTGCCCAAAGAATTCAATTTACTTTAGGCATCATTTTGGTTTTCCTTCTTTGAACTCAATAATTATACGATTTGGATTATTCCTATTAATTTTTTCGTCTAGCGATCATTCTATAGTTTAATCAAAAGCCAACTATTCTCAGTAATTGTAGCCTCTAGATCAACTACTGTATGAATAAAGTAAATTATTCTATGGTTGATCCGAAAGCCAACTGTTCTCATTACCTATGTGGCCTCGGGATCAATTACTGGATGAAGAAAGTGATGTAACCCTTGTATCACTAATGTTAAGTATCATGAAAAAATTTTCATGAAAATAATCATGATAGTTTTGTGATATTTGAATTACATTTAGAATAAAACATCACACACTAATCAAAGTAATTCAAGAATCATAAATCTTTCATGATCATTTTCATAAAAAAATTTCGTGATCTCTAACTTTTCTCATTGTCAAATGAAAAAATAGTGAAGAGGATCTTCATCCATAATAATATAGGCATTTTGTCATTAACATAACTTCACACGAATCATCCATTGACATTGTCTTCTTTTTTCTTGATTTAAAGTAAAAATCACATTTCAACATTATTATATTCTGAAAGCTATACATACATACTTTTATAATTAATCACAATAGTTTGTAATAAAAACCATAAAAGGTTATAATTAAAACGACACAAAATCTTATAATAATTTACTCCACAAAATGTTATTAACAAACTATCAAAAGTGCAAAATCAACGAGCGCAACTTATTTGGTATATTATTTTTGCTTTTTCAAAAAACTGAAATTAATCTTAAATTTGTAAAAAATTTATGAAAATGAAAAAAATGTTTTATACTTAGGCCTCGTTTGGAAACTCTCTCTTTTAGTCAAAAAGTTAAAAAGTTACTAAATTAGCCAAAAAGCCAACAACTTATACTAAAAAGTCAAAGATTCTTTTTTCTCTCTACTTTTTGCACATCTTTTCGTAAAAAGTCAAAAAGTCATCCCAAACATACTAGTTTTTTTTAGCTCATATTTTAGCCAAATAGCCAAAAAATTACTAAATTAGCCTGTTCCCAAACGAGGCCTTATTTTCAAAATAATTTTTCATTCTTCTCTCTCCTTCTTTGCCACCTCTGTCCAAAATCTACAGGGCACTCACCATTACTGAGTTTCGGCTACCTTTTAGTGACTCTTTAGTGACCAACCGTTCAACATTGTGGTCTTAGTCCACCTTTCAACGACCCTCTTACCATCTTGTCACTTCTAGCGGCATTCTGACCACCAATTAAGACGGCCACCCCCCACTTCTAGTCACCACATCCATCCACTCTACATAATTAGCCACCACCTCTGAAAACTCACCAAACATATTTCTCCATTTTTGTTTTTGTTTGTTTTCAAAATATAGGTAATTAATATCACAAAACACAACTTTTTTAAGGAATACACTGTAGTGTAGCATTTTCCATCATATTCACTTTCTTAAAATTGTTTTCCATTTCAAACAATTACAACTTATCCTAAGCAATTTGTGGAATTTTTCCTATTCTAAGATCCTTTTCCGCTACACGATCAAATAAGACGTACTCATCGTCGTGTAAAAGAGAGGTGGTTTGGACAGAGAGAGATCTAAACATAGGATTCCACCCCACAATCTGTCTCCACATGTCCCATAGTCTGATACTAATGATTTTTGACAGATTGTTTTTCATTGGATTGACATGTTTGGTAAGTCAGATTTACTGAGAAAAACCACACACAATTTACAGGTAAAAAGCTGAACAACTCTTAAGAAGTTGAAGCTGAATTGGGTACACCAGAAAATACTTCATAATTTGCTTCCATCAGTACTGGTTAGATTAAATTGAAGTTTTCATCATTACAAGTTTTACCCAAATGAGGAATCACATTACTTTGAAAACGAAGTAACCATCTTTTCTGTTAAACTCACAACCATGTGAAGTAAACCATACAAATCTCTGAATATCACGGCCATTAATTATCCTCCCAAAAAAGAAGAAACATGAAAGCTTCTAATACCAACTGAATTGGAAACATAAAAACTGAGACATAAATAACCAAATTCAAATCAAATCCACCCAAGTTACCTCAAAGAGTTTCTAACAACTTGCCCAGTTGATCTCTTGATTGACTCAATCCTCTGAAGCCTAATCTGCTCTCTGAATTTGGCTATAAACTCATCTGCCTTCTTGTTCACATCCGGTCCCCCTTCGCCCCCACCGACACTGCTCGAACCAACTTCTTCAACCTCTGATCCTCCTCCAAACCCATCATAATTCTCACTCTCAAAGACGTCATCATTATCATTGTCATCGTCGTCATCAGTCTCTACCACCACATTTTCGCCAAATTCTCGCTTCTCTTCCCTCTCATAATCCACGAAAGCCGCCTTAAAAGAAGTGCTTTCGTGGATCAATTTTCCATTCAATCCATCTTCACCAATTCCTCTGGCTCTCATAGACCCTGAAATCGATTCGCTTGGTCTAGTGGTTCGAACCGACTTCCCCATCAATGAACCATCACTTAGCACTCTAGGCCTGGACTCTGCCCCTGAATTTGCTCTGCTTTGGATCTCTTCTCTGTCATTGACAATCAAGTCCTTTGGTACACTCCAAACACTTCTCTTCAATTCCTTCGCAACCTCGGAATTCGACAGACTAGAATTGGACTTCACAAGAGGAGGTTTCCGACCATATTGTGGCGGCGGCGGTGGTGGTGGAGGAGGAGCTGGCGGAGGTGATGACTTGTAATAAATCTTCTTTCTTGCCATTTCTTGGACATTCTTGGCTTGGGATTCGGATGAGAAAGAAGGTGATGGGGAGAGATTTTTTGGTGAAGGAGATGCGGAATTGGGTCGAGATGATCGGGACGATTGAGCTCTGAAAGATCGAGATTCGAGCCGATTGAATTCAGAATCCTCCATTGATGGAGGCAGAGAATACAGGGGAACACCGTCAATCTCTTCTCTCATTTCCATCCTCCCTGATCTCGATCGCCATGGAATCGGAGAAGGAAGGACATCATTTTCATCCACTTTCTTCTCCAAATCCACAGCAATCGAACTTCCAAATTCCCCATTTCTTGATTTACTAGAATTGCTCGAAAAACGCTTCGAACCCAAATTAGAACTAGTCCTACTCAGAGAACCACCGCTTTTGCTACTCAATTCATTGATTGATTCATCAAAATCAGAGCTTGAAACCCGAGATTTCAAGCTCCGAACGGGCAAAAGCAGGGGTTTATCGACAACCCGAGAAGCGGTACCGCTCTGTTCTTCAAGAACAGAGCTTTCTTGAGCTACAACCACCACTGGTTCACCTCTGTAGTACTGAGAATTCCAAGTCTGCAATTTGTTGTCATCAGACCCAGATGAGCTATCGGTTTCATCATCAAAAACTGATGAAACTTGAAGAAATCTAGACACATACGAGTGAGCATTATCGAATTTTGAGCTGTGTTCTTTCTCTGTTTCATCGTTTCGCCGACTAAAAAGCCCGTAAGAGACTGCAATTCCTACTAAAAGAAGCTGAACAAGTTCCCAACTTCTGGTGTGGAGAGTTTGGTTGATGAATTCAGGAGCTTGGGAAGGTAAAAGAGGAAGAACAACTAGGAAAATTGCAACAATGACAGCTTTGTACATGAAATGAGTGTAGAATTTGTTTGGGTTTGGAGGGTTTTGGGAGCCTAATCTTTGTAGTTTAATGTAAGACTCTGTGTCTGCCATTGAAGAAGAACAGAGAGAAGCCAAGGATCTTGTTGATGGGTTTGTTGCAGAATGTGAAAGAAGATTTGAAGATGAAGGTAGAGAAAACTTAGGGGCTAAGGAAAAGTATACCAAAAAAAAAGAGAGTGATGAAGAAAGTTTTGGGAATGAGTGAGCTGATTTTAAGGAATGCTTTAGTTTGAGCTATTGACATTCATACCCTTTTTTTCTTTTGTTCCTTCTCTGTCAATTTGTTTTTGAGACTTTTTGTTAGTGATGGTCAATCAAATGCTGAATGAGCACAAATTCCTTTATTCTGATTCAGTAAAAGAATATTTGTTTGGATTTATTAAAAGAAAGATTATACAGACAAAATACATTTGTGCAGTGTCATGCTGTCGTTGTTATTGCATAAGCTTTCACTTCATTTATCAGTAGATTTGCAGTCCAATCCTAGCTTTTATTCCAGAAATCAGAGGCTTATATCTTTTGCATTAACATGAATTCATAATATATGGTTATTTTTTTTATTATAAAAATAAATAAATAAAAAGAAGATGAAGATTGCTTTTAGTTGGTGTTCTATCTGGAAGGTATTGTTGACCCTCTTGAATCCATCACAAAACTCACTTTGAATTGTTTGAATAATTTGTTTGAAAAGTTTTAAAAATTAAGCAAGTTGAATCATTAAAGTAAGTCTGTGATGGGGGAATGTCTTTTCAAAAATAGAAAAATAAAGTACATGCATAAATAAATTAAAATAGTTTGTTTTTGTAAGGCCATCTTTAACTTATTATTATTATTTTGTGATTTGTGTTAAAAGTTTTATTTGAAAGACAAATAAATTTTCTATAACGTATCATTGTGGATTTGATAATCCAAATTACATAATGAAATTTTTTTATTGAGTGAGACAATCCTAAACTATCTATGTCAGGTAATTCAAAGATAAATTGTAATCCACTTAATGTATTTTAATATTTTTTATTTATCAAAAATATTAAATAAATAATGTCACGTAGTATTTTGAAATAATTTTAACTAAGGTCAAATTATACCCATGATTTCTATATTTTACTTCTTATGTCATTTTGGTCTTTACACTTTAAGTGGACCCGAAGGCCCCTGCAAGGAGAGAATTAAGGAGGGGCCTCAAGGGGAGGATCCCAATTCCTTGAATCCATCACAAAACTCACTTTGAATTGTTTGAATAATTTGTTTGAAAAGTTTTAAGAATTAAGCAAGTTGAATCATTAAAGTAAGTCTGTGATGGGGGAATGTCTTTTCAAAAATAGAAAAATAAAGTACATGCATAAATAAATTAAAATAGTATGTTTTTGTAAGGCCATCTTTAACTTATTATTATTATTTTGTGATTTGTGTTAAAAGTTTTATTTGAAAGACAAATAAATTTTCCATCACGTATCATTGTGGATTTGATAATCCAAATTATATAATGAAATTTTTTTATTGAGTGAGACAATCCTAAACTATCTATGTCAGATAATTCAAAGATAAATTGTAATCCACTTAATGTACTTTAATATTTTTTATTTATCAAAAATATTAAATAAATAATGTCACGTAGTATTTTGAAATAATTTTAACTAAGGTCAAATTATACCCATGATTTCTATATTTTACTTCTTATGTCATTTTGGTCTTTACACTTTAAATTGACTCAAAATTTTGATTCTTAATTTTAGATTTGTGTTAATTTGGTCTAATTGATAATATCTTAGTATTTTTTCAAAAAAATTATCACCAAAGTAGTTGAGATTAACTTACTGAGTTGAGTAAGTTTATAATTTTGCCCTTATAACTATGATACATGATATACTTATGTGCATATTTTTTATAAAAAAAATTGAGAGTTGAAATCAATTTAACCAAGTTAAAAAAAATTATAGATTCATAATTAAAATCAAGACAATTAAAATTATAAAAATTAAAATTACACAATAACCAAAATACAATACTACGGTCATAATTTGTCGTTTAACTAAACATTGATGTAAAAAACGACAGAATGTGGGGACATTTGGGGAAAGTTGAAAAATTGGAGGTGGGGGCAAATAGGTTGCGTTGGATGTGGTCTAGGATTCTTCTTTTGGACTGCGTACGCTAGCTTTACTAGGGTATAAAAAAACGGTGAGTTTGCAACTTTGGAGGGTATGCTTTTCTTCACCATCCATCTTCCCTCTCCCACATTCTTCAATTCTTGCATTTATTTGGGTGGAAGTGGTAAAGAATTCTGAGCAAGGATTCTCTAAAGTGATTTTTTCTTAAAGTTTTCTAAAGTCTTATATTGTGTGGTTGAGATTTATTGGCAAGTCACATCAATTTTTCTGATGTGACTTGTCAATAAATCGCAACCACACAATGTAGCACTCTAGGAAACTTTAGAAAAATTTCACTGTAGAGGATCCTTGGTGAAGAATTCTTGCATATTTTAGGGATGAGAAGAAGATGCTCTTTAGGACCACGCAGTGGTTATTTTGGATATTGTTTAATAATTTACATTTTCCAAAAGTTTTTATAAATACAAAACAAAAGTAGTGAGTGGTCCACCAAGAAAATTTACATACATATAAGTTGAAAGATTTCAACCATCTCATCATCACATAGTTAGAAATAAGGTTTTAATTTTACGATATTATTATTTACTGTTATATCAATTGCTATACCAATTGATACTGTGTAATATTAAAATGATAGTGAGAAGATTTCAATTTTGTCATCATAAACAACATTTTGTTGGCTAAAAAATTTGTAGGTTGATTAACCTGTAATCTTTTAATCATTTCATGCATGATGGATAACTGAGGCACCACAATATGGCAAGCCCTAATGAGGGATATTAGGGTTTGGCTGGATCTATCTTTGACATTAAGTTATTTAATCATTATTATTGTTTCCCAATAATCAAAATGGCTTAGAAAGAAGAGTTACTTTTACTTTAAAAAATGATAGTGCCAAATTTTACGTATTATTTGGTCTTAATCATGTTGAATATAAGGCATTTGGGTTAGAAGCTTAATTTTAAAATTTTTGGAATAATTGCTCCAAACTCTAATCTTGTTGGTTGAATTGGGTCTTACATGATTCAATTTGTGACAAATTAAAAATTGGCGTATAACATGTTATGTCATTATGAGTATCATTGTGAGACTTAAAATTGTGAATTTCATACTTAAATTGGTCTATAGCACTAACCAATTCCACGTCAACTGGTTTCAACTTGTATACCATTTTTCATTGTGAAACTGAAAAATGGATTAGTAATTGAATACCTTTCATAATGGGTCGGATAAAAAATTAGTTGAGTAGCCGATTGTTTAAAATTAATCTGAAAATTTAAATAAATTTAAAATGTGTTTAAACTTGATTTTTATATCTTTCGATCGGCTTGATCCTAATGAGTTTTAATCGATTCAATTAAAAGTCAAACTCAAATAACTTAATTTTTTATAATGTATATAACTTATCAAATCAAGTTTGAGTTGAACTTGAAAAAATGACCAACTTCAAATATTTTTAAGTTTCACTTGTTTATACAATAAATTAATTAGAAAAGAATTTTTAACAAGTTGAATGATATTATCATATTTTTGGTGGTTGAACTTTAATTTATACATAGCTGAAATGGATTTTGATATTCAACTTGAATAAATTTAATAATTTCATATAATAGAACTTAATTTTGTGAGTAATTTGTAAAACTAAACTTTGCCATCGACTTGAATAATTTCTTAATAGAGATTAGTTTTATGAATTTTTTTTTTTTTTGAAAATTTATAATGTTTTTGTACACTTAGGGTTCGTTTGATATGAAGGTTTGGGTTGGATTGGGGTTATTTTAGCCACAAAAAAGACGAAATAGGCTAAAAAACCAATAAGACAAATGTCACATTCAAATTATAATCATTTTATTTTTTCTCTCATAAAAATTAAAAACGAAAAAAAATTCATCTCAAACGAGACTTTTTAGCTCCATGCTAAAATTGCCAAAAAGTCAATCCACATTCCAAACGAAAGCTTAGTATTTTTAGTTAAGAATGAAAGTTTTTGATATGATACATTAATAGAACATGAACTGAACACGAATAAAAAATGTCATAATACAATTACATAAAAAATAAATAGATTAAGTTAGTATTGAGAAAATTGTAATATGAATATAACTAACATGACACAATATCCACTTTTAATTGGGAGTCTCTAAATTTTGTTAAAATTAAATTTAGCCTCACCCAAGGTCGGCCCTGAAGCCTTGCTTAAATCTTTGAAACTCAATTAATTTTTAGGATAATTATCAAGATATAGCTGAGTTGCTAAGTAGACATTTGATAAAGTGAAGTATTCTTTAAGAATCATCCATGCAAAACCATGCCTTTTTAGGATAATTATCAAGGGATATAGCTGAGTCGCTAACTAGACTTTTGATAAAGTGAAGTATTCTTTAAGAATCACCCATGCAAAACCATGCCTTTGACAGGTCACGCACACGTCCAACAATCATAAGATTTTTGGTACAATTTGAACAATCTTTGTCAAAAAAAACCAAACCACCATGTGAAGAGGTACAAGATTTGGAAAAGCAATTGCGATTGTTATAATGATTACGATAACACAATTATGATTACAGAATATAAAGGTTATAGTGTAATGGTTGCAGTAACTAAAATTAAGAATTTTTAAAATTTTCATACAATTTAAAAAAAAAAAACTTATTGATATATTCCTCATTTGTAATTTTTTTTGGGGAAAGGAAGCTATTGAAAATATTATAACGGTGTGTAACAGGCCATTATGATATTGTTACGGTCGTTACACATGTGAATTTCTGTTTGTGAAACCCAACCTGTTATGCTTAATTATGCATGTGATTATGTGTTTGATATGAATTTACAAGTTTAAGTATGTGAATTATGTGAATTTGGAATAATATAGTCGAATAGGAATATCTGTTGCAATTTCAACTTTGAACTGAAATTGAAAGTCTTAGAGGCACTAGAGACCAAAACCGGCTTCATATTTGTAATTAGCATGATTTTTAGAGGTTAAGGTGAAATTTTGTAAAATTACGATTCGTAATGATTAAATTAAGATTTATGAGTATAGCCCTTGTGTTCTTCATTTTTGGTTGAGAGCTTTGCTAGAGTGAGTTAGAGAGAGAGGAAGAGGAAAAGCGATTTTGCTAGAGTT